ACAAGTAGAATTACCATTTGATCTAACAATCTCATTACTGGGCATCTACCCAAAGGAACAAAAGGCCTTCTATAAAAAAGACATCTCCATTAGAATGTTTATAGCAGCACAATTCACAATTGCAAAGATGTGGAAACAACCCAAATGCTCATCAATACATGAGTGGATTAAAATGTGATATATGTATATCATGGAGTTCTACTCAGCTACGAAAAACAATAGTGATCTAGCACCACTTGCATTATCCTAGCTAGAGCTGGAGCCCATTTTACTAAGTGAATTATCATAAGAATGGAAAAACAAGCACTATATGTACTCACCATCAAATTGGTATTAACTGACTTAACTGACCAACACTTAAGTGCACATATAGTTATAACATTCATCGGGTGTCAGGCAGGTGAGAGGGGGTGGAGGGGATGAGTATATTCATATCTAATGGGTGTGGTGTGCACTATCTGGGGGATGGATATGCATGAAGCTCTGACTTGGGTGGGGCAAAGTCCATACATATATGTAACCTAAACATTTGTACCCCCATAATATGCTGAAATAAAAAAATTAAAACATTAAAAATAAATAAATACATATCTAATTAACTCTCTGGTTGATAGTTAATTCATTCAACCCAAAATATAAGTATTTATTAAGTCCCATTCTAAATACTTAATTAATCTCACTATACCTTATTTCTCTCACCTGTGATGCTTACATAATTCGAGTACCCACTAATTTTATTACTTTGAAGTTTAAATGATACAATGCATGTAAAGCATTTAAATTCTAGTTGCTTTATATCAGTCCAAGCAACATTAGCTCATTATTCTATTTTTTTCTTTTTTTAAATTTCAGAATATTATGGGACTACAAATGTTTAGGTTACATATATTGCCTTTGCCCCACTAGAGTCAGAGCTACACATGTGTGCATGCCCCAGACGGTGTGTACCTCACCCATTAGGTGTGAATTTACCCATCTCCTTCCCCCTCCCACCTGTCTGACACCTGATCAATGTTACTACTATATGTTCACATAAGTGTTGATTCATTAGTACCGATTTTGATGGTGAGTATATGTGGTGCTTGTTTTTCCAAAGTATCTTGTGATACTTCACTTTGGAGAATGGGCTCCAGCTCCATCCAGGGTAATACAAGAGGTGTTAGTTCACCCTTGTTTTTGTGGCTGAGCAGTGCTCCACGGTATACATGCACCACATTTTATTAATCCGCTCATGTATTGATGGACATTTGTATGCAGATGTCTTTTTTATAGAATGCCTTTTGTTCCTTACGGTAGATGCCCACTAATGGGATTGCTGGATCAACTGGTAATCCCATTTTTAGTTCTTTGAGTTATCTCCACATTACTTTCCATAGATGTTGTACTAGTTTGCAGTCCCACCAGCAGTGTAGGAGTGTTCCTATCTCTCCGCATCTATGCCAACATTTGTTGTCATTTTGGGGACCTTTCAATACAAGCCATTCTCACTTGACTTAAGCAATATCTCATGGTTTTGATTTGCATTTCCCTGATGATTAGAGATGTTGAGCATTTTTTCATATGTGTCTTGGCTATTAGTCTGTCTTCCGAAAAGTTTCTGTTCATGTCCTTTGCCCACTTTTTAATGGGGTTGTTTGATTTTTTTTCTTGCTGATTTTCTTGAGTTCTATAGATTCTAGTTTTCAACCCCTTTTCAGATGTATAGCATGCAAATATTTTCTCCCATTCTGTAGGTTGTCTATTTGCTCTAGTGATAGTTTCTTTGGCTGTACAGAAGCTTTCTAATTTGATCATGTCCCATTTAGTTTTGTCGATGCTGTGAATGCTTTTGGGGTCTTCTTCATAAATTCTCTCCCTAGGCAAATGTCTGTAAAGAGTTTTCCTAACATTGTCTTCTATAATTCCTATGGTTTCATGCCTTAGATTTAAGTCTATTATCCTTGGTGAGTTGATTTTTGTGAGAAATGAGAGGTACGGATCCTATTTCAGTCTTATACATGGGCTATCCCATTTTCCCAGCACCATTTATTGAATAGGAATTCTTTTCCCTAGAGTATGTTTTTGTCTGCTTTGTCAAAGATCAGATGGCTATATGAGGATGGTTTTATATCTGGGTTCTCAGTCCTGTTCCATGGTCTATGTCTCTGTTCTTATGCCAATCCCATGCTGTTTGGGTTGCTATAGCCTTGTAGTATAGCATATCCCCACCACCCTCCACAAGTGCCACCTACTTACGGGGGAGGTCAGTTTGCATGCCCTTCTACTGATTTACTGACTCATCATACAGGGTGCAGTTTTTCTATTATTATATTAATGTTTATGTGTTATCATATTTTCAAAATAATCTGCTGGTTATTACTTTTCTCCTAGGGAGTTTTTAATAGCTAACTATTATAATAATTAGTATCACACACATCTGGATAGATAGATACATATAAAATGCCTTGTTACATATAAAATGTTTTATGCATTACAAACACATTGTACCTATAATTCTATTCACCTTTTAAATAAATTAACTAGAATGCTTTTTTTTGGAATGTTGAAAGGTATTTTTATTTATTATTATTGTTGATTCAAGTAGACTCAACTTGAAGTGTAGAATCAAGTTAAATTAGAGGCAAGATACTAGATGATGACATTTTCTTCCAGAAATGGGGATAATAATTCCCTCCTTCTTTGTAGATAGAATCCTTTTAATAAACTGGGATCCACCAGGATATGGAAAAAAAAAAGATGCAGTTTGGAAAGGAAACTGAAGGGAAGGACTTTTATTAAAAGTGCTATGATTTTCCTTTCAAGGAGTATTCATATAGAGCCTATTAAAGGAAGTGAAAGTTATTCCCCTGTGGGGAAAAAAACACATCAGAGGATTGATTTTTTTTTCTTGTATCTACTAAGAATTCCCCTTTTAATAACAGGAATAGGTCCTGTTGCCAAACATATGCTGCTATAAATGGCATTTTGCCAGGTTCTCAGTGACTTCTGAGCATCTTTCATTTCCCAAGGGGAGAGGGAAGCTGAGGTAACAGTGAACTGGCCCAATCAGTACTTTGTGTATAGGGTGGGAGTTGGGGGCAGGCAGGGGTAATTTAGAGATGGAGACAACAGGACAGTAGAGCCTATAGAATTTATTGGTTCTTAAAAAATATTTGTATGCTACAATTATACATAAGTATGTGATACAATTTGAGGTTTAAATACATATGTATACTGTATAATGATCAAATCATGGTTACCATATCCATTACCTCATGCATTTACCATATCTTTGTGTTGAGAACACTCTAAAACTTTCTTGTAGCTATTTCATAATATACAATACCTTATTGTTATTCATAGTTACCCTAAGTGCAACAGAACACCAGAATGTACATATTCTGCCTAATTGCAACTTCATATCCACTGGCTACCTCCCCTTCTTATCCTCTTTCCCATCCCCGCCTCAGCCTCTGATATTAACTGTTCTACTATTAGCAACCACTCTCTGGTTCTATGATATCACCTTTTTTTATATTCCATATATAAGTGACATCATGTGGTAATTAGTTTTTCTGTGTCTGGCTTATTTCACTTAACATAATGTCCCCCAGGTTCATCCAGATTTTATTCTTATGTTAAATAATCTGCATGAAAAATTTTTCTCCTTGGCTTTTAAAATCACTCTCAGTAGTCTAAACCTCAATTGAAATTAAACAATAAAACTAACTTGGTGAATTTACTTAGGCAAAGTCAGAGTGGTTACTAATTCTCCCAGGTTATTTTCCCTCTTTTTCCACGAACAGCACTGGACAATGAAAATAAATGAATGTGCAGTGCCTGTTCATAATGAAGAACACACCACCACTATTGATACTAATTATCATCCCATGAGCTTAATTAAGAGCTAATTACTCATTTTAGTACTATGTTGTCTTAATTCTCCTGCAAAAGGAGTCAATCCATAGATACAGTCAATTGTAGGCCAGTCATCTACCTCCACCTAAAACAGAGATTTCTATTATTATTATTGTGTATATTTTGGGTGTGCATGATATTTTGATATACATAGTGAAATAGTTGTTACAGTCAAGCAAATTAGCATATACATCATCTTCACATAGTTCCATTTTTTTATTTTTTTGATAAGAGCACCTAAAATCTACTCTCTTAGCAAATTTCCAGTATGCAACACAGTATTAACTATAATCCTTACATGGTACATTAGCACACTAGACTTATTCATTTTATATAACTGCAACTTTGTAGCCTTTGACCTAAATCTCCCCATCCCCTACCCCTGATAACCACTGTTCTACTGCTTCTATGTATTCAACTTTTTTTTCCTTTTAGAATTCCTCATGTAAGTAAGATCATGTAGCATTTTTATTTCTGTGCCTGGCTTATTTAACTTAGCATAATGTTCTCTAGGGTTATACATGTTTTCTCTATTTTTAAGGCTGAATAGTATTTCATTGTATGTATATACCACATTTTCTTCATCTATTCATCTTTCCATGGACATTTAGTTTGTTTCCATATCTTGGCTATTGTGAATGATACTGCAATGAATATGAGAAAAATATCTCCATGAGGTACTAATTTCATTTCCTTTGGGTATATTCCCAGAAGAAAGATTTCTGGGTTATATGGTAGTTTTATTTTTAATGCTTTGAGAAATCTACTTATTGCTTCATATAATGGCTACAAAAGTTTACATTCCTACCAACAGTATAAAATAGTTCTCTTTTCTCCACACTGCCACTGATACGTATTATCTCTTGTCTTTTTCGATGATAGCCATTCTAACAGGTGTGAGGTGTACTCCTTGTGGGTTCAATATGCAGTTTCCTGATGATTAGTGATGCTGAAAACCTTTTCATATACCTGTTGGCCATTTTATGCCTTCTTTTGAGAAATGTCTATTCAAGTCCTTTGCCCATTTTTTATTTAGGTTATTATTATTAATAATTTTAGCTATTAAGCCTTGTGATCTTTTCTTTATATATTTTGGATATTAACCCCTTATCAGATGTATAGTTCACAAATATTTTCTCCCAATCCATGTCCCCTGTTTCTCTGTGGTTGTCACTGGGCCACTGTGGCAGGGATCAGATCTGAGACTGGTTCAGGATGGACATGCCAAGTGGGGCTGGCCAGCGGGATGGAGCATGCACACAAGATGTAGGAAGTCCTCTGGGCGCCATGTCCATGGGTGCAGGCCTGGGTGGCTAAAGTGCTGGGCACATGGGTGGGGCAAGGGGCATGCAGGATGTGATGAATGTGCAGGGTGTAGCAGGCTTATGGGATGGAGCAGGTGCCAGGTGTATAGTGGGCCATCAGGTCACAGCTCATGCGAAGGGCAGAGCTGGACCCATAGGCGAGGGTGCCTATGTGAGATGAAGCAGGTCTGTAGGGTGTCCTGCTCACATGTTCAGGCTGAGACAGCTGCAGGGCAGGGTGGGTGGGTAGGTCAGGGGGTGAGCAAGGTGTGGAGCCCAGAGCACCTGCGTGGGACGGCATACATCCACAGCATGAAGTCCACTCATGTGCAAAGGTGACAGGTGATTGTCCTCCTTGGGGCCTCCCAAGCAGTGGCAGTGGTAGTGATCCAGTTGCCCCAGTAGTGGGTAGCAGGCACTGAGAGCTCTGGGTGTGTGCTCCACCGGAGGGAAGTGCGGTTGAGTGTGATAGTACAAGGCACAGCAGTGGGCACCAGGCCCATGGTCTCCTGTTCTTCCCAGGGGCCCCCAGTGGCAGCAGAAGCAATGGGGGTGCATGTCACCTGCCCATGAAGCACTTGCAAATGCTGAGATTCCCTCCTCCCTCCCCACCTGGCAGGGTGAGGCTGGAGGCATCATTCTTAGATCTGACCCCTGGGCAAAAGTAGCATTCTGGGGTTGGGATGCTACAATGGTTCCAGCCAAGCACCCAGAGCTTGCAAGCCAGCCGTCCCTTCTCTCTGTGCAACACAGCTGCACAGTCTCCAGTCAGTTCTCTATATCAATCTAGAGGCCTGCTGTGGTAGAGGAGTCCTCCTGCCTCTCCGGTTGCAGTATCCTCAGGGGAAGTGTGGAGCCCAGGATTCTCTCCTTTGTCCCTTTCCCATGTGTGGGCACCTTCCCTAGTTACCTCCAATCCTGCTGAGCAGGTTGTCCCCCTTCTGTCTTCTTCAATCTACTTCTGTCTCCTTCACTCCACTTCTGCATCCTCTCCATGAATTTCAGGTGTTCTCGCTCAAAGGATTGATTCAAAGGTGGATATCTATTCAAATCTTTCGATCCTCTCCGTGAGAGCAGTGTGGCGCAGGCTGCTTGTAGTCGGCCATCTTGGCCTAATCTCCAAGACTGCAATTTTTAAAAAACAAATTTAATGCCTGGCCACTTTGTAGAATTTAATTGTGTTTTATACATAAAATGTAGAAAAGAATTACTTCAGCTAATCTCAGACAACTAAGATATATTATACATATTAGGATAGGTATATTCTGTGGTACTACTCCATCCCCAAATTTCAGTGACTTAAAATATAGAGTGTATTTTTTTATTCATGTAAAGTCCACTGTAGGCTGTTGAACTCTCCAGGGTTCTGAATTCAACATGCTGTCTCAGCAATTGAAACAGTTTCAAACTTGTAGTGTTGCTGTTCACAACATGTGACCTTCACTCTCACCTTTAGGGGTAAGAGCAGAACTAGGGAATCATGAAGTGCTTTTCCCTGCCCCAAGTAGAAAACAACACTCATGCTTCAGCTAACATTACATTGGCCAGAACTAGTCATGTGCTCCCTTCTCACTGCAAAGGGACTGGAAAATATAGGGGTGGGGGGACAGATGGAATGTTTGTTGAGTATCACTGTCTTTGATAAATTAGATTATTAGACATTTTAAAAAACATCTCTGAGAAAGAGCTCAATGTGTCCAATATTCTCTTTCCCAAAGACTTTCATAATATTACATGTAAAAATTTCTATGAGATAGGATAAAGAATTTGATTATGTGAGTTTTAAACTTTTGATGGAGAAACAGAAGCAAAGAGACTCATGGAATTAGGCTTACCAATGTTGTGTCCTAGTCTTTGCTGCCCTCTTCCCTTTTAGTTAATTCTTCTTCCTGGGTGAGAGAAAGCACAAGTATTTTTTTCTAGACTCCAAGAGAAGTAGCATATTCTCTCTCTCTCTTTCTCTCTCTCTCTCTTTCCTCTCCTACCCCTCCCTCTCACCTGAAGTCTTCATTCTTTCTTAAAAGCATAAGTAACTTATGCAGTCATTTTCTACTTTCTGTTACTCTTTTGTTTAAAATTTTCTTCTTCCTCCAATTTGGGAAAATACAACAAGAACCCTTATAATGAAGTAAACTTTTTAATCTTTACATTATGGAAAAAATCCAGTTGTTTTAGATTTCTCTAGTTGTATTTCATATTCACAGGTCACTGATCACACAAGGAACACAACTTATTGAACCCAAATAAGAACAATGTAACACATTTTATAAATGATAATAATAAGATAGCGACAGCCCAGTACGAAAGGATTGAACTAAATTATTTTGCAAAAGTTCCTCTGACATTTTCTGACTTTGCTTTTATTTCTAAGGTACAAGATTAGCCCTCTAATATCCCGATACATGAACTTGATTTTGATGTATAATCCACAATTCCAAGAGGCTCAATAGTGAAGTAGCAATTTCCTTCAAAACAAAATCTGTTTAATGTTAATAAAATTGTATTAACTTTTGCTGTGACTGGAAATTAAATCAATATGTAAATGTCTCCTTTCATTAACTATCATAAGTTGATACATTTTTATATTTTTAAATATGATATTAAAAGGGTGTAGTATAATCTTTCCCACTGATAACTTTTCAAGTACAATGTGAAAAGTTCTTTACTACTATCCATAGATCAATCTCCCTAGTATATTGAATGAGGTTCCAAAAATGAAAGTCCACTAGGAATCTATGAATGTGACTTTATTTGAAGACCTTTTGGTCTTTGCAGATATCTTTAAACTAAAGATCTCTAGATGAGATCATACTGGATTAGGGTAGGTCTGTATTCAATGACAAGTATCATTATAAGATGAAGAGAGGGCATGGAGACAAGCTCAGAGGCAAAGCCCATGTACAGAGGGAGGGAGAGATTGGGATTATGCTGCCATAAGCCAAGGAATGATTGGAGACCCAAGTGACTAGAAGAAGAAAGGAAAAATTCTCCCTTAGAATCTTGGAGGGAGTTTAGCCTTGTTGACACCTTGATTTCACACTGTTGGCTCTGTAACTATGAGAGAATACATTTTTGTTGTTTTCATCCATGAAGTTCATGGTAATTTGTCATGACAGTTCTAGGAAACTATTAGAGTCTCCTGGAAGTTCTACCCTCCAGGACAAATCTTTGAAGTCAGATATGTGAGAAAAGCTGCCATGTATTAGAATCACACATTTTAGAAGGTTTGGCCAGAGTCCAGAAGTTAAGTAACACCAACTCCTAGCCATGGCACTTACCTGCTAGATGACTGCTAAGTTTTGTCAGTCATGTATTTTTTATTAAAACTGCGACATTTTAAAAATTGCATACTAGCATCCTTTTTTTCTCCTTACTGAACAACTGAGTTCTCATTGGAAAAATAAATTTTATAAAATCTCCATCACGGGAGGGGGGCGGGTATATACATATATAATGAGTGAGATGTGCACCATCTGGGGGATGGTCATGCTGGAGACTCAGACTTGTGGGGGGAGGAGGAGGAAATGGGCATTTATTGAAACCTTAAAATCTGTACCACCATAATATGCCGAAATAAAAAAAAAATCTCCATCACAACAATGGCTCAAAAATGAATTTGATTTATAAATGGGAAGATTCAAAAATCCAACAGTGGGTATGTACAAAAAGTAAATAAAGGCATAAAGAAAGAAAAAGAAAAAGAAAAGCAGAATCACATTCCTCATGATTTGAGGTCCACTTGATGGCACTTGATGTGAAACTATGCAAAGAAAATTCTTCACAGTATGGCAATATCATTGCATCACATTTTTATTTCTATGAGTATATTTTAAACCTTTTAAAAATATGAGAAGAGACAAACTACAAACTTCTCTTAGAGAAGTTTCTTTCCACTTTATTTTCTAAAAAAAGCAAAGAACCACTGAAATAGTACCTATATTTAAATGTCTAAGGAAGTTGACATTAGTCCATGTTGTCAAACTCAGATCAACTAAGCAGAATTAATTTTGCAGTCTGGGCTTCACATACCATGCTTGTTTGGAGGAGCAGCTGCACTGTAATTTCCTGAAGCCACTGCCATTGTCCCTGGAGCTCAGAGGTAGAGAGTGGCTACATGCCTAATTTCAGAATGAGGCCCACCACTAACATTTCCAAGGCCCAGGGTCATAATCCAAATGGGAGTGCACAGACTTTATGACTAACTATTTTGGATATATAAATCAAGTTAACAAACTCAATTTGTATTCTCCTCCCATTTTCTTCTCTTCAGTACAGAACTTTGAATTGGAAAGAGCTCCAGTTGGTTAGTTTGGAGAGTTCACAGAGTCCAGACCTGCCAACATCATTCAATCCTCCTACAGTCTCTTTCCCCTCATCTGAAAATTAGAGTCTGCAAAAACCCTTTCCAGTTTCCAACTCTTTTCTTACATTGCCAATCTAACTTTCTGGTAGTGGGTCTAACTTTCTTTTTTTGTGTCTCACTTTTTTTCTGCATTCTAGTACACAGTCACTGATAATCAGATGGATCTAGATGACCTCCTCACACTTATATTTTGGGGTTCATGAGCTATCTTCTTACCTTGTTTTTTAGTAGATGTTGTCCATGGGATTTTTCTGTGTTTGCTTATATGTTTACCTATATAGTTACTCTATCAGTTTTTGAGGGGAAGAGTCAGAAAGATTAAAAGACTCCACCTAGGATTCTTGCTTATCTGAGCTTCCTTGTTCATCTCATCTGGAAAATAAAGGTAATAATTATATCTCTCTTATAGGATTGAGATAAAAATTTTAAAAATAAGACATGTACATTTTTAAACATTGGCCTAAAATTAGAGCTTGAAATTGTTAGCTCTTATTTTTATTCATTAGGGTTAAGCTCTCTCAGAAATTTCTAGATTCATGTTTATGATGAAATTCCAAAGAAGCTTTTCTGAAGCATTTTCAGAACACATAGCAGGTAAGAAACAGCAAACTAACATGTGGTAGGAGGTGCCATTACTCTCAATTGCAATTATACCAGAAAGGTTCTTGACAGCCTGCTATTTGAAGGAAGTCACAGAACTAAAAAATAATCAAGAACTCTGTTACTCCCCAGTATAATAATGGACATACTTTTCACATAGAGAGTATAGTGTTGTTAGGTAATAGTTTAAAAATATTTAAAGTATTTTTAAATAAAACCCCAGAAGTTAACTCCATTAAAATTTTCAACAGAAAAATATAACTTGCCCATAAAACATATTTTATTAGGAACATAGTTACCTTGTCATCCTTCCCTAGGTTAAATAAATGGCTATGTATACACACATACATATATCTATATATTTAGAAAACAACTAAAGAAAAATCTCATTAAATTCTCCTTGTTATTCAAAGTTATGGTGAAAGAACATTAGTCTTTCATGTGCCATTAGTCATCTAAAATGTCTCTCCTACTACAGTACAGAAAACTCATTGTAAAGCATGGTGTTTATTCATTTATCCTCTAACAGCATTATTTTTAGGGAGTGTGACTTCCATATAAAATTTCAGTTACCTGTAAAACTGAAAGGTTTGGTGGTGGGACCATATTATCCCCGTGTGAGGAACCTCCCTGGTCATAGGTCAGATAACTAGACATTAGGCTGTCCACCAGGTTAAAGAAGTATTTCATGAAAGGCATGCTATAAACACCCACATCCAGCTCCCTTTCATTTCCCTTTAGAGCAGGGTCTCTAGCTGCTCTGATGCTAGAACCCCAGTTTAGCTGGGAGCTGTCAAAACAGGGTGGCACTAGTGCAGAAAAGAGATAAGCAAAGGGACCAGGGGGCTCCTAGAGTAAATAAATTGGCCACCTGACACTTGTATGTAGTTGGAAGGGCTGGAAAACAGCACGTTGCTGAAAATTAAGAATTAGGAAGGGAAAGAGAAGGGTGGGCAGTTCAAATCTCATGGTCCTTGAAATCTCAGTAGCATTTACTGCTCTCAAAAACAATCCTTACTCTTGCAATGCTCCTCTTTCTCTTTTGAGGCAGAGTGCAACCTCAATTGTTCTCCTAACATCATGTACTATTTGTTCTGTACATTATTTCCTTTTTCTTTGCAGCCCCTGATCCTCTTCCATTTTCCCTCTGGCCTCTTTTTCTTATTCATGAACTCACCATTCATTGTAGTGCTTTCATATAATGTTCCTAAAAGCTGAAATGGTGTTTGAATGCTTTTTTGTTTTTTAATATATTAGCATTCCCATTTTTACTGAGCTGTTTTACATGAACAACATATTATCATATCATTTTAATAAAGGGATAAATGACAACATTGATAAATTTGAATACATTAAACAAAAAACTACTCTTTATTAAATGATATTATACAAAGGGAATGAAAAGGTAAACCATAAAGTAAGCTATTTATCCATGAAATATTAAAATTCCTACAAATCAATAAGACAAAGAGAATCAATTAATTAGAAAAGCAGGAAAAGGTCTTAACAGGCTCTTCAAAAAGATGAAATCTTTTTCAATAAACACAAGAAAAGTTATTACATCTCATTAATAAGAGAAATTCAAATCAAAAAATTCAAATCAAAATTATTTTGAAATACTACTACTCGATGCCATATCAGTAAACATTAAAACATTTAATATACCAAGTGTTGGTAGGATGTGGGTGATGAGAACTCATGTACCCTGCATGTGTTTAGCCACTTTGAAAAGAAATTTGACTTATCTAAGTAAGTTAAAGATTTTTATTTCTGATGCCCTCAATTCTTCTTCTAGGCATAAAGAGAAACTATTGCAAATCTGCATAAGGAGTCATGTCCAAGAGTGTTTATAACCATATCATGCGTAATAGAACTAAAATGGAAACAACCCAATGTCAATTTAAGCTAAAGTGGGTAAATAAATCTTGATGTATTCATACAATGGCACTTATATAGCAATGTAAATGAACAATGTTTACATGCAATAACATTTAAGATTACAAACATAATGTCAAATGAGTCTCAAAAATGCATAAAGTATAATTTCATTTACATAGAGTTCAAAAACAAGCAAAATTAAACTGTCTTGCTTTGGGTTGTGTGCAAAGATAGTATATCTCTAAAGGGAAGTAAAGAAATGATTATCACAAAAGTCAGGATAGTGGTGACCTCTGGTGAAGAGGAAGTCATTGTGATTAGGAAGGGCACACAGAAGGTAGGAGTAAGGTTGGAGGGAGTTTCTACTGTGTCATCCATATTGTTTCTTGATCTAAGTGGTGTTGCATGAGTAGATATTTGCTTTATAATTATTCTGTAAACTTCTCACAGTTAAACTTAACGACAAAAAATAAGGAGGTAAAAGAAAAATATGGTAGCTGGCTTCCAAGTTGACCTTTGAATAAACCTTGCACTTAGGTAACTTAGGTAGTCCCCTCCTACTTTTGACCCACAGAATACGGTGGAAGTGATAGTTGCTACTTCTCATCTAGTTAAGAAGGTAAGTGGCTATTGTTCTCTTGGAGTGCCCACTCTAGGAAAAGCCAGCTACCATGTAAGAATTCTGACCACTGTGAGTCTTCCATGGTATGAGGAAGAACAAGCTAGTCACATGGAGGAGCTTACAGAAAGACAGATGTATAAACAGCCTACAACTATTCCAGCATCCCAACCCAAGAACCAGACGGGTGAATACAGAAGTCTAAATATAACTCTAGCCCTATAGTAATCAGACCATATCTGCATGAGAGACTCTGAGCACTGACCATCTAGTTGAACACAGTTCTCCCAGAAAATACTATGAGAGATGGTCATAATAAATTGATGTTTTAAGCCACTAAGTTTTGGGGTGGTTTGTTATGTGGCAGTAGATAAGTAGAACAGAAGGGGAGTGGAATAAGTAGAAAAAAGTAAAACAGGAAATTTGTTTTATAATTAATCAATAGAAAGAAAAAAACAGAATCTGATACATTTAAACAATAAAAATTCAGTACTACTAAGAAGATGGCTCATTCATTTATTTCAACAAACACTCTCTTTTCTGAGAGTCAAACTCATATTTTCAACTGTCTGGTAGACATCTCGACCTAGATATCCTGTTGGGTTTTTTTTTAATCCACTGTGTCTAAAATGAACATATCCTCTTCCCCTGAAGTTGGCTCCTTCTCCTAAATTAATATTTCTGTTAGTGTCAGACCAAGCCTGACTCATTTTAAATTCATACTCTTATTTAGTTACATTCAGTTAATAAGATATGAAAACCTATTCATTTCATTAATCATTCATGAACTTCTTCAATAAATATTCTGTCACTATCAGGTTGCAGGCACTAAACTGGTTCTGAGGTACAGAAGTGACCAAACCAGTCATGCTTGTTGCTGACACAGGGCTTTCTACAATATTCCTGCATCAGCCTCTCCCATTTCACTTCCATTATCTCCATTCTCATTCTAGACTTTATTTCTTCTTACTTGAACTAGAGGTCAATTTCTTGAACTAGAGAACAGGTTTTTCTGCGTCCTGTTTTCACTGATCTGGCTTAGCCCTGCTGCTGGATTGATCCTTGCACTCTGATTACTTGTATTCCTTGGCAAAAGTGATTCACTGATATAATACTGATCTGCCTCCTCCTCCCCAAACTGTACTGTAACTTTAACACAACATTCGCATAGTATCATCCCTACTTTTTGATTCCTACTCATTATTCAAGGCACATCTCAAATGTTACCTCTTAAATGAAACCTTTCTTGTGTGTGAGATACCTTTTCGTTAATTTTGAAACCAGTTTGTTAGAGGGGGATACTATATATTCTACCATATTATAGTTATCTGAAACTAATAACTGCCATTTCCCAAATGTGGATTTAATCATGTTCCTTTCACCAGAATAGCCTTTTTCACAATTGTTTAACGTATTTGATGCTAATTTAACATAGTCTATTTTCAATTTAATAGAGTTTACAACTGGTAAATGCATTTCATGAATGTTAAAGTTCTCTCTCTGCAAGATAACATACCTGCAATTGTAACTGCTATGAATAGAGAAACGAAAAGAATCAGATGTTTCAGAAATTTCTATGAGTTTATATTAATGACTCTGCAAATTGGTGAAGACAATATTAATAAAAGCTAATTCAAAAAACCTTTTTCAATTTGATCCTAAAGAAGCAAACACAGCTAAAGAATGTGGTCCTTTCTGCCTCATAGATATGCAGATTTTTAAAAAATTAAGCTGCTTTTTGCTCTGGAAAATTTCTCTTAAAATATTTCCTGCAAAACAGTTTAATGGGCTATTACTAATTATAAAAATTGTCTCCCATATTTTCTTTTTAATATTTAAAAGCTGTTAATATTTTCATGGAAGACATTCTTATTTTCACAATATTTTTGTTTAAACTCTTGTATATAATTATGCCTAACAAAAAAAGAAATGCCCAAGTATTTGACTGACTTTCAGCCACAGAAATTTTTTCTAGTACTGTCTGTCTAACATGAAAAGCTGCGCAAATTTTCATATGGAATTCTGTTTTACAAAATGTTTGCTTAAACCCTTGTTCACAGTAATGCCTTAAAATATAATTTCCAATGATTGGACTGGTTTTTTTTCAACCATACACACCTAATAAATGCACCTGAAGAAGTAAGTTGGTGACACAAAGCTCTCTTAACTGAGAGACACCCCTATGGTGTGGTACATCACTGCAAACTTGAGAGAAAGGCTTAAAAATACAATAAAAAGATTCTCTTTCCTAAGAATTCTGCACTTAATGGTTCCA